ACTCTCTATAAATGAATGATTTATACTTGCATTTTTATATGAAAATAGACATATAAATAAATAAAACTCAATAATTTCATAATTTATGGATTTGTATTGATTTAGTTATAAATTTTATAAGTTGATGAATGAAATCTAGAAAAAACTAAAAATAGCCTTGTCTATGAATGGATAATTAATTACTCAATGGAGAAAAGAATAATATAGATAGAAGACTATGAATGTTTGTTTAATTTATAAATCTATTAGTATATTATGTTTATTAAGCAATTAGTACTGTCTTCTGATATAATTTATGAATAATTTACTTACATTTTCTTTGTTTTGTATCTATTAAATATGTTATGGATGCATAATAAATGCTGAAAATATTCTCATTCTTGAGTAGAACATGACTTTTAAAATGGGATCGGGAACATGAAGTCATAATAATGTTAACCAAACATTATCTTTATGGGTTGCGTGATATTAACTATTATTATCATTAACAATTCCTATATTACTCCTATAATCATGCAAAGTCTTGTTAAGATTGAGATCCCTTACTCTATGTATTGTGCAATGACTTACTTGGACATTCGTGTTAATCCTCCTCCAAATGAGCTAGAGGACTAGATAAGAGTAACTTGTTATGTAAAAATAATATATATAAATTATGAGTGCTTAGGATCTTTTTATTTGACTTTCATCTTTTTTGTTTGTTTGTAATATACCTAAATAATTCAAGAAAAAGATAAGAGTTATATATAATATTTTTTAGTGTTAAAAAATAACTCTATATATAGATATACATTAGTGTGTGATATATACCCTTATTAATCTATAACAACATAATAATAATAATTGAGATATATTTGTTAATAGTAATAGAGATGTCTTCAAAAACTTCTAAAGATAACCATTACAAAAGTCTTTCCATTTCTCTAAAAAGTTAGCTTAAAAATAAAGTTGTTTGCCCTCAAAATTAGAATCAAATACCACAAAACCATGTTAATTTTCGGTATACCTTATACAATAAACGTAAATTCATAATTCGTGTATTTTTATTTAATAGGTTTATTTGAAAGTTATTTTTTTTAGAAGAAAAAAAAATTCTATAATAATTATTCTTATTTAGAAGTTTTTAGATAAAAAAGAAATATTTAGAAATTTTTTAAAACTCATTTAATTTTATATTTTCAAAATTTTTAATTTAAAAAATTTTATATTGAATCTCTTTTCTGGATTCTTTAATTTTTTTTTTCTCTTTTCAAACTCTCAAAAGCCTAAGATATAAAGATATTCACGTGTGTCTTTAGGTAAAATCTTTTAAGTTTTTGGAATAATTGGTTCATGTCATGGTATTAGATTATCCATTGTTAAAATTAAGTTACTCTCAAATTTATATTTATGCAAATTTCACATTCCAATGTCCTATTCTTACTGTATGTGTGGTTTGATTAATGAGTCAAAAAGAGGCATATATGTAATTTACGAGTTGATAATTTTATCTTGCTCGAGATGTTGAATTATTCTTTTTTGGACAGTATATAATGCATGCTTCATTATTGGAAACTTTAATATATTTTAATCCATTAACTACCTATTTAACGTATCATAATTACATTTAAGAATATATTTAAATTTTATTTTTCCTGAATTATGATGCATTAAATTTATGCAGCTCAGCTGATACTTTGTACTTAATTTGTTTAAACAAGTCTAGTGCAATAAGTATAATCTTCATCAACTTACAAATTATTTGGAATTTCAAGATTAATTTGTCATGATATTCCCTCATTGTTTTTTCAACTTTTTTTACAACAGTTATATGTTCACATTCATTTAGCTTGTTTCGTGAGTGATAGTTTATCTTATTTTATTTTCAGTGTTTATTAATTATAAAACTATTCTGAGGAGGATCAGAAAATATTAGGATAAGATAATTTTTTTATATTATATTTTTATTCATTCTTCATACCTTTTTTTAATATTTTATAAAAAAATTATTTAAACATTTTTAATAAAAAATATTTTAAAAATAATGTTTAAAAATTCTATAATTTTTTTAAGAAAAGTATATTTTTTTAAAATATTTTAGTTATTTTATTATCTATTATTTTTATTCATCTCTGTCTTATCAGTTTTTATTCTATCAGATTCACCTAACAAGTCTTTAAGTTCTACACTTTTAAGTGCAGGTAATGCAACTAGCCATTAATTTAAAGGTGTTTATCCTCTCAAAATTCCAGAGAGGAGAAAAACTGTAATAACTATAAAAATAGGGGACTTAAACGTCTTACATATCAAGAACTCATGGGAAAGACAAGTTAGTACTTGGGGATGATGAAACTGTAAATGAAGAAGAGGGAGAAATTGTGACAGTTGAGGTAGATAAAATTGAAGAAGAGGAATCCCTTGAATGTGAGGTTATAGGCATCTGCGGAATCACTAGCAACTTACTTAATGAGTAAAGACGATGCAATTAGAGGGAAAAATGAAGGCGATTGGGAGTAGCATGGAGCAGAATTACCAGCAAAGTTGGAAGTGGAAAGTGTTGAACCTGTGGAGACTGAAACCACTTTGGCTAGCAGGGAAATTGTGAAGAATGGCAGCAAACATGGGAATATTAGTTTGCCTTGTGCAGCCAATTTCCTCATTTTAACCTTTGAGATCTGCAAGGTTTATTCATGCAGGGAAACAGGGAGAGAGAATTAGTTAGTTAGGCCACCCAGCACGACTGTAGGAGGAGTGGAATTGTGTAGAGTGAGTGGTGAGTCTTGAGATTGTGCTTAGACAAAAAAAATTTCTTTTCTTTAAAAACCTAATTTTTGATCTACCATTGTAAGAGCTTCAGCTCTATTATCAGTTTTTTAATATCACTTTAACCATTTCCTACTCCAGCACATTTGTAGCAAGGACGTTGGCAAAGGTAATAAAAGAGAATAAGGACAATTTTATTTTATTTTTTTAATAGGAAAGGGTATTATTTAGAAAAAGACAAGTGTCTTTTGATGTACCAACTTTTTTCAATATTAAATAGATGAATATTTATCGTCAAGATACATAGGTGAGTCATATTTTCATTGAATAAGTAGAAAATGATCGATAGCAAGGGTGAAACATTGTAGTAGTGTAGTGGGGAGGAGCCATGACACCCACGTCAAAGGTGTGTGTATATATATATAAATACTAAACAGTGCGTGCTTTTTCTCCATTAGTATAATTAATAAAAATTATATACATTTTATATTAGTAAACTCTTCATGAAGTAAAGAGATTAAAATTTTTAGTTTAAACTATACTTTTCTTATAATTTAGTATTTTTAAACTCAAGTAGTTAAAGTTTAAACATAAATAATAACAATTTAAATCATAAAAATAAATAAATATGTTTTCAAATAAACAGTACATACATAAGTGCAACTTGCGTGCAATAAGCATCACCTTTTGACTATTAATTATTTTTTTTCCTTCCTTATTATTAATCAAGCTCTGAGCACAACTTAACTAACTATTGTGCAATAATATGAAGCTGTCTTTCTCTTAGTAAAGAAAGTGCTCCACATTGGTAGCAGAATTCAAATGGAGTAGGATATTATTAAAAATAAGTGATGTATTAAAATAAAAAGTAATAGATAAAATATGATATCATAAGTGAAAAATAGGGATATTTTAGTTTTAAAAAAATATTTTTTAATTATTTTTTATTAATAATTATAATATTTCACATTAATTTGTAAATAAATTATTAAAATCATTTTGTTAAATAGTAAAAATCAGTGCACAGGAGAATATTTCTATGAAAATTTGGACTTCTACTCCTCTTGGACTGACCTCGGCTGCCTTACAGGATACAATATTCTAATAAAATTTTAGAACAAAAGCAACACAAGCAACATAATTCAGAGATGTTATTATATATGTATCCATAACTTTCTATTTTTTATTTTGGTATTTACTGTCATTTGCTGTATGTCTTGGCTACCAAGTTATTGAGAAGGTAATGCAAACTTTTTTAGTAGCTGGCAGTAGTTAGATTTTTAGTGGTCCTTTCCAAATTGAAACTTCCAAATTGTTGTTTTTTGACGTTGGGAAGCAACAAAATGGTATGTTGTCTTTTTCTCCCCTTTTACTAGGGTTCATGCTCTCTTTTCTATTATTTTCTTTTGTTATTGAATACAAAAAAGATAAGGATATAGACATTAGAATGTTACATTTGTTTTTTTAGGAGAAAGTTAGATTGAAATTTTAATGAATAATGAATGATTTTGTTTGTTTCTATATAAGGAAGATATTTATGAAATGAATACTAATAAATAAAGTAAAAGTTTAAATATTTATATGGGATTTATCTGATAAGAGGAATAGATTTGGATAATACAATTGTATATAAATAATTAAAATCAAAAGATTTAAAAAGTTATATAATGAATTAAAAAAAGATTATTAACTTTTTAAAATATTTATATGACTTATATTTTAATTTTAACTATTCATGAGAAGATCTAATTATTAAAAAAAATTCTCACATGAATATATACATTTTACATGTACATTTTACCTTACTTTTGATTTTAATTCCTAAATTTAAAAAAATTTAGTCTGTTGTCTCTAAAATTTTATTTTTTGTAAGTCATAGTTCTTGTAATTTCAGTCAAAGTTTAAAGCTTATAATTTTATTAAGTTTAAGTTTTGGTACTTTTATGGCTACCTCTTAAAATATACATGTAATGATAAATTATTAATGACAAAGGTCAAAATTAACGAAATAAAGTTAATAAAAAACAATAAAAAATAAACCTTTCTTAAAAGAAAGAACAAGCAAACAGTATTTTCAGTTCAGATGTGAGTTTATTGGGAAGCTTGTTGAGCAAATAGCTTAAAATCTTGCAAGATTCCATTTGTTGTTTTACTTTTATGTTCTTACCAGAACAAAGTTGTGCGACTCTGTGCAACTTCTAATTGCTTTGCGCGTTCCAAGCAACATCTTTGCAGTGTACACAACAAGGGGAGACCCAAACACACGCGCGAGTCTTTAAGATAGAGAAGGTGCATTACTTCCCGCGTTTTCCTTCTTCATTGCTTTCATTTTCTTAAGCGTGCAAGTCATTGACAAAACTCAACATACCCACATTTTATTGGTAAATAACTCTGCTAATTATCTTCAAGATCTTCTGTTCCCTACCTTTAACATCACTCAAATTTCTTTCCTTTCTCTTCTTACTTCCCACTTCTTAAAAAGGGTGACTCCATCAGTTATTAGCTCAAGCTATTGTCATAATCACTGTCTGGAACTTGTTATCTTCTTCAATAGCTTTCAAAGGTTTGAACTTTACAAAAATCTCTATCTGGGCCTGCTTGATTCTTTCCATTTGTTCATGTATTTCATCACTTGGGATCTTGTGCTAGTTGTGGTAATTGTGGTTTGGTAAAGTTTCTAGTGGGTACAAATCTATGAGATAGCAACAGTATCCATTGATTTGTTTGAAGTTGATTGTATTCATCCTTAAATTTATTGGGATTAGGCCCAGATTTTTGTTCTCAGGAAATTGCGCCCATAATCGTAAATTGGGTACTTTTCATTTTATCAATCCTTTAAGGATTCTCTTGGTGGAAGGTGATCTTTTTCTCATTTTGTTTTTTTGGCCTCTTTATTAGATCATTTCAACTGAAGAAATGGGGGGATATATGAGCAAGAAGACCCCTCAAACATCATCTGGCATTAACCTCAATACTGATATGGCAACTGAATTGAGGTCGTATGAGGCTGCCTGTAAGCTTGACTCTGATTTGCAATCCTTTGACAGCACTCTTCAAACTCGAACGAATCAAGTAATCAATACTCTTGCAGTGGGTGTTGAAGTTCGGTCCCTTTCATTTGAATCTCTCAAACAAGTCACAGAATGCCTTCTTGAGATGAATCAGGAAGTTGTCAAGGTAATCTTAGACTGTAAGAAAGATATATGGAAGAACCAAGAACTGTTTGAGCTTGTTGAGGAGTACTTTGATACTAGCCTGCAGACTCTAGATTTCTGTACTGCATTAGAGAAGTGCCTAAAGCAAGCCCGGGATAGCCAATTGCTTATTCTTGTGGCGCTTCAACAGTTTGAAGAGGAAACTGGGTTGGGAGAGAAACGCTATGGTAGGACATTGCAGGAACTGAAGAATTTTAAGGCAGCTGGTGACCCCTTCACTGAAGAATTCTTCCAAACCTATCAATCTGTTTACAATCAGCAGATACTCATGCTTGAGAAGTTGCGAGTCAGACAAAATAAGCTTGATAAGAAAGTAAAACAGATCCATACCTGGAGGAAGGTCTCAAGTATGATATTTGTAGCTACAGTTGCGGCTGTCTTGATCTGCTCAGTTGTAGCAGCAGCCATTGCTTCTCCACATGTTGCAGCTGCACTAGCTGCTGTTACTGCAATCCCAATTGGCTCAATGGGAAAGTGGATTGACTCCCTGCTAAAGAACTATGAAAATGCCATGAAAGGACATAAGGAAGTAACTATCTCTATGCAAGTTGGCACCTATGTTGCTATAAAGGACTTGGAAAACATCCGGGTTCTCATTGAGCGGCTGGAAGTCGAGATTGAGTCTCTATTGAAGAATGTGGATTTTGCTGTTGAGGAAGAAGCTGTGAAGGTTGCAATAGAGGATATCAAGAAGAAGTTGGGAGTTTTTATGAAGAATATTGAAGATTTAGGAGTCCAAGCTGATACATGTAGCCGTGATATTATAAGGGCAAGGACAGTGGTTCTACAGAAGATCATAAAGCTTCCCCACAACACATGATGTGATGTTCTTCTGCCTTGTCAACCAGTATTCCAGTAATTGTTGCTTGTTGGAGAATTCATTTGTTCCTGTTTCATATCTGATTTTCAGCTGTCATTGATTCATGCAAACTTGGGTTTATATTGTAAATAATGGGAAAGTACTGACTTATAGTCATTTGGTATGTTTAGGAAGCTAAAACTTATTATTCTTTTGAGACAAAAAAAGTACCGAATGTATTTTTATTTTGTAAGATATTTGTGTTTATCATATTGTCTGTTGGTAGGATTATTATCTGTCTTAATATAGCCTAGCATGATGATTGATTGCTTTTCGTCTGACCTACTTGGCTTGTAAAGTGAAGCTACTCAATCAAAATACCCCAAAAAATATCTTTTTTCTCACAAGCTGTTGATTTAAGAATTACTTTGCTGTGGTATTTTATTATATGCTTTTTAACACACTCTTGATAACTAATTGAAATTTTTTTGGAAATTATGAGTGACATTCACTAAATCAAGAGTGAGACTTGTATTTTCTTGTGAGTCTCTAAAAAAACTTTAGTCAATAACATAGAATGTGTTTCAAAATAGTATGTTTGAGAGTATTGCCAACATTCCTCCTAGTTTCCAGCTGTTAGTTGCAATTAGGAGAAAGGGTATCACTTGTATAAATAGAATAAAAGAGAGGACAGAGGATAGATTATCAATTGGAAAACGGATTGTATACTTTGAGAGTAGGGAGGTCTAAGTTCTCTCAAATAACCTGAGAAATTCACTCAATCAATTAAAATAAATAAATAACTTGTGTTATTTTCTGTCTAACTGATTCAGTTCCTATCAAAGCCCTTGCTAAAATTTAAAGGGAAGGAATCCTACATTTCTAGATTATGGAAACCTAGTAATTACTACAGTAGATTTTGACATACTGTGCCAGTACTAGATTGTTATGGATTGTGATTGATTTGATTAAAAATGTGTTATAAGTTTTATCTGAAGGCATTGATTATTGCCAATTGTAGATAAACTTTGCCTCTAATGAATTCCTCTGAAAACCAGCATTTCTAAAGCAGCATCTTTTATCTCTCCCCTTCTGGGAGATGACGGTCTTATGACTCTTATCTGCATGAAACATCCCTTTATCTTCCATCTATTTTTCTACTCAACATTTATAAATATACTTTTTTTTGGTCAACTGAAATATACTGTATTTGCATGAAAAATTGCAATTGTGATTGTATCATGCAACAGTGGTCGGTTAACAAGAAAGGAAGGTCCAGAAAGGGACTGACATGGGAGTGATTATTGATGGCAAATTAGGCAGGTTATAATAATAATAATAATAGTGGTGGACCAGTTACATTTATGATTGAAGTTATACAACAGATGTCCCACGAACCCAAAACGTGGAATGCATATTTGAGAAAAATTTCTTAACGTATTTGCGTGGACATTGAGTACATTCTCCGAGGCCTGATCCATAACTAAAATTAAATTAGTTTTAAAATCTAGATTCTTAATAAGGTGGTTGCTATAATATAACATAATTGTTCTACATGTGAGAAGACATTTTCTTAATTTACAAAGTACTGTAGAAATTACCTCTCAATAAAACCAAATTTTTAGGCCCATTTTATTTTTTGTCCAAATTTATTTTAAAATTCATTTAGCAATACCAGATTTGTTTATTCTCAACTGGATACGTAGCCTCTTGCAGCTGATGCAAAACATCTTCTCTTCTCTTCCTTCTTGCTAACATACATTGAAACTCAATCATTTCTCACACTGCTAATAGTGGGCTTAACAGATCCCTAATCAATCTCTAAGTTGATTTCCATCAGGTGAGGGTTCTTCTTTGTTATTTGATGATTGTTATTTGGTCAATGTTATTTGGTGCAGGAAATTTGTGCTTGTCTCTGCATAGCAAGCTTAGTTAGTTAGTTATCAGTTTCAATGTTAGCTTAACTCTGTTGGAGACGAAAGGATTGGGATGGGAATGAATGTTTTGAATGGTTTAGATTGTGTAGGTGTTGTTTTCGTATAGTAGAAGCAAGTTTGATGTGTGTTTTGTCTTTTGCTGTGCTCGTACGTTGTTCTTGACTTCATGTTATCGTAACCATGTAATTTGAAATTTATAAGTATTAAAATGAAGTTTCTAGTATTTGGTCCACTTTTTTGTGACTCAATCATTGTGATTTTATTTTCTCTTGCATCAACCGTTTTAGACATTTGATTCAACGTCTTGTTATCCATTTACTACGTAAGTTGGGATGAAAAGATTGTCACTACATCTATTAAAGTATAATTAAATTAAATGTGTACTAGGCCAAGTTAACCTAAGCCATCCTATTGTGAACATTGGTTGAGATTGCATCAAGTTTAGAAAAATAGGAGGAGTTTGTCAGTTTAAGGTTATCAAGCATTCAAGTGAAAATTTGAATTTAGTAAGTCAATTAACAATGTGGATTAATCCCTAACTCATTCATATTGGTTCAATCATTAATCAATTAAGAATTAGTTACTAATCCCTTCACAAAATTTAGTTAATTAGAACAAGCGTCAATTAACCCTAATTTCTCATGTAAGATTAAATAAATTACAGGATTAAGCCAACTTAGAACCCAGCTCAACATTAAGCAAACTGAGCTCTGAAACCCTCGTTAAGAAAGGAACTTAGTTGATTAAGCAACAATCCCCATTCAATTCTTAATTTAGTTCTAAAAAAATTAGGGAAATAAAATTCATAAGAAGGAATTTCGTATCTACAATTAATTCGATTTCAAGAACCACTATGAACTTATTGGGAATTAATCTCTAAAAAATAGCCTTCCATATTTTAACATTGCGAGTAATAAATGTTCAGCAAAACAAGAAAATCAAAGTAAAAAAGATGAGAAAAGAAATAAGAACCCTAAAAATAAGCTCTTGGCAGCCACCTAGAGCTCTGACCTAATCCTCTGAAAGTGTAAAAATGAAAAGTACAAAAATGGCAAAAAGGTCACTATCCTCTAATTGGGAGTCTATTTATAGTAAAGTTAACACTTTCCTAACGTAATCACTATGAATGGTGAAAGTGATTACGTGCAAGTCCCATTGCACTACTTTCTCTCAATAGGCTTGCGCGTAATCACTTTGAACATTGGGAGTGATTATGCGTAGCCTCGCCTCATGGAAGTGGCTCTGGAGTGTTCACTATCAATGCTGAGAGTGATTACTTCCACTTGGCCTTTGGAGGGTGTTTGCTGGAGTAGTTATTTTGGATGTTGGAAGTGATTATTTCCACTCAATTTTTTCTTAAAAGCTTGGGTTTTTTACACAAATAAAAAATTTTAAATATAAAATTACTTATATGTCTTGAATTTTTTTTCTACATGAATTTCTTGATTTGAGTTATATAGAAGTCAATTAAAATCGATTTCACACACGAGTACATAAGTTGATTATAATTGTTTTCAAAATTTCAATAAGAAAATCGATTATAATCGACTTCTATATTATGTAAGAGTCAATTATAATTGACTTTTGTGCCCTAAGTTATATTGTTTAAATTTTTATTCAAATTAAAGAAAAATAACAATTTTAATTAAATTTATTAATATTTAATTATAAAATTATTAAATGATATCAATGTAAAAATAATATTTCAAAGGACATAAAATTTAAATTCTAAACTACATAATATTCAAATTTTAAAGTACATAAAATTAAACTTTGAAAGGACATAAAAATAAAATTCTAAAGTACAAAAAATTAAAATTTCAAAGTACATAGTCCATAAAAAATGTAGATCATCATGCAGCATATGTGACTATGAGTCACGCCTGTTGCGTCTGGGACCAGCAAGGTGACTCCTTGTTGTACAACGACAATATACAATCTGTCGTACAGGTCTGCGATGTGTATATTCCTCCTCTTGCTGATGCTCTTCCTCCTCCTACATTAAAGGAAGGAGTTCAGATATGTGATGGTGATGGTCAATATAAATTATCTGTAGGTGGTATTATACCGGTCGATGACCTTAGCAAATTCGTAACCTTAGCATCTGACATGAAAGGTGGACTGAAAAATATATGTTGCATAGGACTGGGAGTAAGAAAATAATTTGATCTGAATTGATGACTAGGACCTCCCATAAAATGTTGGCTAGGGGTCATACATGGTAGGCTAGGGCCCGACATGAAGTGGTGCTGAGAAGAACCATACATGTACCGCTATTGGCTAGGTCTTGACATGAAGTGGTAGCTAGGGTACGTGGATGTCAGGTGGTATATGTTGCATGAGATCTGCTGTACAATTGGATTTGCACTAGGTTCTACATCGTGTACCGGAAGGTTGATTGGTATATGTGCCTCATCACGGTACTGATGTCTACTAGCACGTGTACCTGCACGCAAATAACGCATGAAAGAGCGTCTATCTGGAATGCCATCAGGGTGTGTAATGTTAGGTGCTGGAGGGACATGTAGTGGTATACCATCAGGTAAGTCCCTAAGCTCTGCATCCTATGAAGCTCCATCCAATGACAAAAATCTATTAGCGATTGATAAGTACCACTGAAAGTACTCGACAGAGGGACGATCATTATCTGCTAGAGGATATTGAACTCGTTTCTCCCTATGTGCCTCCCATGTAGCATGCCATATCACATGATAATCAGGCCACCATATCTCTAGATCACCTCTCCTATCCTTAGCATGCAATCGATCAATATTTATAAGGCTGATTAGTATGTGTTGTTCTCCACCATATTGTCGAACCATGCGATCAACAGGGTGCCACTCAATCACAGTAAAATGTATAAGAGCAATCACAAATGCCCAAATATCAGCCTCATTATACACAAAAGGAGGTGTAATGTTCCTGACTTTGTTGTTGCTGTAGGGCATCCACCTAAACTGAAAGTTTCAAAATAAAATATTAGACAAAATAAATATAATTATTTAAAACAAAAGTTAATAGCGTACATCATGTTTTAACTTACCCTATTAATGTCAATTGAATCAATGATCTTCCTATATCGCAATAACTTATCTGTATCTAATCTCGTCGATGACCTAAAACTTTTCCACCTTAAATGAGCATAATTATTTTTTACTTGCAAATTTAATATATATAAATAATAAAATTAATATAACCATAAATAATAGTACCTTAATGCTAGTGGAAAAGTGAGAGGATAATAGTGTCTAGGGGCTAAATGAGGTATTTTGTACCATGTTCAAGACTGTATAAGAGGCAAACAACCTGCAATTTCGGTGACATTGTATTTCACCCCACGACATATCTCACGATAAAGATATGCTAAAACAGCCAAACCCTAACTATAGTTTGAA